CTTCTTTGTTTAGTTGTGTTGTGATATATATATACATACCTTAATTGTTTGTTATAGATTTCGCGCAAAGAGGGCTATCTGTGCTAGCCATCCCTAATTTAGCAATGTAAGATTAGAAGGAAGGCAGCTAGTCATTACCACCCACCGCCAACTCTTGGGCTACTCTTTTACCAATGAATCACATTATAATGTCCCCATGGCTGAAAGGGCGAGCATGTTTGGTGTGATGGGGATTCGAACCCGCGACCCTCAGATTGCGAGCCGAGTGCCCTAACCACATGGCCATGTCGGGCATATACATACCATATATTACTACCATCTTGTATTAATATAGTATTATTCTAAATTCATCAGTTATTTCTGAGTATGTGCAGTTTTCACATAAAAAATGGTCAAGAAAGTCATTAAAGTATTATGTCATTCTAGCTGCCTTTGTTTCTTTGTCAAAGGTCACATCTATACATCAATTCTACCCATAGGAGGGGGGATGATAGTAATATTGCATGTTGTACAACAGTATGGACAGCAGTGTCCTTCAATGGTAAATCAGATGGTATAGTTTACAGACTCCCCTGTGCTTGCATGAGAATGACCAGTCATGTCAGTGATGCTATTTCTGGTTAAATCCAATATTACCTGTGAAGTAAGGAACATTGAACTTAAATAGTCTGGTAGATGATTTTGGCCTGATCAGTTGGAAAAAATGTTTCAATCTAGAACAAGTAACAGTCCACCTTCTAAATCATACACACACTTGTGTTTGTGTCTTAGTATTATAATAATGATTATGATTTTTTTACAGTGTCCAGTCTCTTTATTACATTCTTATGCACTCAGATATTAAGAGAAACAAAGAATACTCCTATACTTTTAGTCACAAGATTCTCCAGTATTTGCAAAACACCAACACTTGAAAGCACCAAGGCACCACCCACACTTGTACTATGATTTGATGGTGGTTATGTTGGCTACATTCAATTCAAGACATTCAGTGCTGGTGTCAACACTGTACAGTGTATGTCATCCAGAGAAAAAGCTGGCTTAAACTGGCTAAATTCCAGTAAACTAAACTGAGCTATCTATTGTTCAGCCAATGCATCAGTTACTGGTTGCACTGATGTATTGATCAGTAGATAAGCCTTGATCCACTTTGTGAAGTAGTCAGTGATCATGAGTATGTAAAGATGACCTTGTTCTGTCTCTTGAAGTGGACCAGTGATAGCTACTGCTATTCTCTGTAGGAAGAATCCAACAATTCTTGATTAAGTCAGGATTAACAAACATAGCAAGCATATACACGACAGTCTGAATCACTCTTTCCCAAACCATCAGATAAGGTGTCTTCACCACATCCAACACTTTACACAACACAGAGAACAGTTGGCTGCTAAAGTTACCTCCCTGATTCATGTGGATCTCTTTAGGTGCTGTGGGACACACACTGATTGTATGTCATGATGTTATTTTGTACAACTGAATAGCGTTTCACTGGTTGTTTGCCAATGTGTTAATATTTGTGTGGAAAGTATTGTTCTTTGTAGATTTAATGTATGGTCCTACCCTAAAATGGCAATCCAATAATGTTCACACGAATATGTGAAGTGGTTAAGGTGTGCATTATTTGTGTGAAAATTATATGTGTGAAAGTACATGTCAATAGCTAGGAAATACTATCATATATAATAGAAAAAATACTATAACCAGACAGGAAAGGAATGAATGTATCAGATTAGAAACTTCTTGGGTTTTAAGATGTAGTGATCCCACCAGAGGTCAGTGCACATCTAGTGCCTTCAGTGAGTGGTATTCAAACACACACACACCCCTTCGAATATGCTAGCAGCTAGCATACAGTATCCAAATCTCTTATAGTGAAACTACTTGTTGGGCTCAGAAAGTAAGGGTCATAAGCCCTTTGAATCTTGTTATAAACAAACCATCCTAACCTCAGATTATCAAGTGGTATTCATACAATGTAGTGCATATGCTGTATCTTACAATATCACCCAATATCTCAGAAAGCATGAGACACAATGCCTTTTCCATGCTGCTAGCACCTATCAAAGTGTCACTCAGCGGAAGTCACGTGACGCTAGTAACACGTCATGAGCTTCTAGAAAAATCATGTCCCTTCATGAAGCCTCGAGTATTTACTAGATGTACGGTATTCTTGTATATAAGACCGCCAAGAAGTGACGGCAACAATGTAATGGAATTGCAGACAGAGAAAGAGACGACAATTGAGTCAAGCGCGTGAATCGTTCGTTCGTTGTGAATTATAGCGTTTGTTGAAGTTATAGAGTGACTGTGGAAATTAAGTGTATTGCAAAGTTGTATTGAGAAAAAATAAACTAGTTTTATTTAAGAAAGGACTTGTATCACTAAAGTTTCTTCGGAAAGAGACGTAACAAATTGGTGTCAGAAAAGGGATAAAAAAAAGAAGAAGATGGAAACGAGAGGTGGCAAATCAAACTACAGCTTAGCAGATTTGATGGCAGCAATACAAGAACAGCAAAAGAAACAAGAAGAACGAGAAGATAAACAAGAAAAAAGATTACAGCAGTTGTTGGAGGAAAAAGAAAAGAAACAAGAAGAGAGATTACAGCAGTTGTTGGAGGAAAAAGAAAAGAAACAAGAAGAGAGATTACAGCAGTTGTTGGAGGACAAAAAAAGAAATAAGAAGAGAAATTACAGCAGTTGTTGGAAGTAAAAGAAAAGAAACAAGAAGTACGAGAAAAGAAACAAGAAGAGAGATTACAGCAGTTGCTGGAGGACAAAAAAGAAATAAGAAGAGAAATTACAGCAGTTGTTGGAAGAAAAAGAAAAGAAACAAGAAGAGAGATTACAGCAGTTGCTGGAGGACAAAAAAGAAATAAGAAGAGAAATT